TATTATATATAATAAATTTATATATAATATAACAACGCAAATATATTATCGTTTTTTTATTTATATTATTTATTTATATTTCTTTCATATTTTTTTACAATTTTTTAATAAAATATTTTATCTTTTATTTATTCATTATTATATAATAAAAATCCTTTTTTTTATAAAATATTGCAATATTTTATAAAATATTCTCTATATGATGAGACTTGTTTCACAACTAATATAAAATTACAATGAAACCAATATTTTAACAAATTTGTTAAAACAATCAACAAATTAATGATATGTACTACATGTTTTATTATTCGTAAAATGTTTTATAAGTTTATTCTATAATATATTTTGAATTTATTCGTCAGAAAACGCGTTCATTATAATTTGGTGTATGGTTTAATAGTGTCAAATACTATAATAATGAGGATTATATAAAGTAAGTATTTATTTCTTTATTTCTATACGATGAGACTTTGATTTGGTTCTATCACATATTTCAAGGGAAGTCTCACTGTATAGAGAACATTTAATTTATTAATTTTATAAATTCTTTGTATTCAAATAATTATCCAAATCAAAAATTATGTTTTGTTTTTATAAAAATTATGTTTTTATAAAAATATCGATTGATGTGTTAAATTAGTTGAATAAATTTGCAGTTGTAACTATAAATTAAAATTTTTATATATTCACTTGTTTTTTACTATTTAATATTTTTTATAGCTTTGAGAAAGAGAAAGAAATGTTTCACTTATAGAATCGTTCCCGATTTCGACCAATATTATTCGAGCACGTGAAGTAAATGAATCATTAGAAAATGAAATGATAAAACAAGTGGTGAAAGATAATGGAAAACAGAAGTACTTTATAATTGAACAGAAAAAAGAAGACAAGAAGTGTATGGATCGTTCGATACATGATTTTCCTGAGGATTTGTTCACATATGAACAGCGACGTCATGGAGCAATAATATTACATGCTTTCCTTGGATTATATTGTTTTCTATTGACGGCATTCGTGTGTCATGATTATTTATTACCAGCCGTTGATTGTATATGCATTAATTTGAATATAAGCACCGATGTTGCTGGAGCGACATTTCTTGCAATGGCTAGTTCTTTTCCTGAACTGTTTGTGAATGTTATTGGAACGTTTTTAACCGAATCAGATCTTGGTGCCGGTACAGTTGTTGGTAGTGCTGTATTCGATACTTTTGCAACTCCAGCTTGTGGAGCGTTGATGACGTTTTATGTAAGTATATTATTTATTAAAATATATTGTATTTATATATTTGAAAATAACTGTTATGAAAATTATTATAAATTTATTATAAATTTAAAATTATGATCGAAAATGAAATGGTTTGTTATGTAAATGATATTAACATTTATCATATGATTAACGAATAATATTCTTCTTATTTACAATAATCAAATATATGCGTGCATGTACATATAATTAATTAAAAAATTTTCATACATTATATATAATGTTAAAATAATATGATATTAAATAAAAATTTAATTATTCAATTTTTAATGATATATATATATATATATATAATTTTGAGTATATAAAATAAGAATGAAATATATGTTAATATATTTATGGAATATTTTTGGAGGGTCAATTTTAGAGATCAAAACAAAAGTTGACATAAAAATGTCGGTTAAAGTTTATTTATAAATTATAAGCAATTTAAGTTCAGAGTTAAAAACGAACTGAGACAAGAATAAAAAATGATATAACGAAGAATATTTTTATTTTATTTTTATTGTTTTGCTATTGTTATCTAACACAAATTACAATTGTTAAATAAGTTTTAATTAATATTTTTGTATAATAAATTTGTATAATAAATTTTGTATAATAAATTTTGTATGATAAATTTGTATAATAAGTTTTATTTGGATTTTTAAAATTGATCCTTTAGAAGTGTTCTTTGAATATATTAATATCTTGCAATTTTTTTTCTAAAATATTACTGTTAGATGAAATCATTTTTTTGGTTTTTTAAAATATAATTTTTAATATACTAATAGTGAATTTTTTATTGATGAAATAAATTAATATAAATTAAAATCTTAAATTATAAAATGTTAGAATTTATCATACTAATGGAAAAAATACTCGAAATACTTGTATTTAAAATAATATAAGAAGTACTAAAATTTTTCATTTCTTTAAAGAAACTTTCCACCAAAAAAAAAATTATTTTATATATAGTTTATTAAAAATAGAATTTTCAGATTATGAATTTTTTTGTAAGATAATATACGAAAACTTCTGTGACTGATTGTATATTCATGTAGATATATATCCATATGTACATGAAGCATTTTTTAGCAAATATTGATATGTAAATATATATATCAATATTTCATACAATCTTCTCGTCAAGATAAAGTTTTTTAAATAAATAAAGTTTTTTAAATAAAGGATAATAAACATCTTTTTTAAATGTATTTAAATCGATCATATCGAATATTTATTTTCTTTATTTATTGTTTACTAATCTTGTTAACGTTATATTATTTATTTGTCTCATTTCAAGTGTATCTTTATCTTGATAATGTTGTTTCTTAATTTCTAATAATTTTTAAATTTTAATAATTTTTTAAATTTCTAATTGATTTTTTATTCTTTTTGACAGGCAATACAATTAGAATGGCAATTATTGTCACGAGATTGTATAATGTATGTGATATCTGTTGGAACATTGGTAATAATAATGTGGGATGCAAAGATTCAATGGTATGAAGCAATGATCTTGTTAATATTATTTTGTTTTTATTTAATTTTGCTCTTTTGTGGTAAACTTATTAGATTGTATTGCGATAAAATTTCTTTTAATTCCAACTTTATGACAAAACGTAAGTGATATTAATATCTATATATATTTTTTAATCTTTTATCATTTAGTCGGTTATTCGTTGAAAAATTTTAGAAAATAACTGTATATCAAATAACAAAAAATATTTTTTATTATTGATCATAGTATTCACTATTGATGAAAATTTGAATGAGAATTTGCCTCCTAATTGTTCATATAAATTGCATCCTCAAAACAATGCAGTTGTGGACCATAGAAAGAATTTGAATATCCAGGAATTAGAAAGGCACAAACAAAACCGGATACATGATCCTGAAAATGTAGAGAATTTTGAGAAATCGATAAAGCGTTCAATTTTTGGTATACTGTAGTATATATACAATTTTATATAATATTATATTATTTACATGATATTGTTGATTTAAAGAGGATAAAAAATGTAAATATAAATATAAAAAATATAAAAAATGTTTTGCATTATATTATTATGTTCGCAGAATATTTATTCACTTGGCCAATAGAGCGAACTATTATTGAAAAATGTTGGTTCATGTTTGGTTGGCCATTGAAATTTTTATTATTTATAACGATACCAGATCCTAAGATTGAACGATTGAAACATTGGTATCCATTGACTTTTATCATGTGCATGATTTGGATTGCGATATCTTCGTATTTAGTTTCTTGGATGACAACGGTTATCGGTGATATCATAGGTATCCCCGATTCCATCATGGGTCTTACATTTTTAGCAGCTGGTGGAAATATGCCAGAAGTTGCGTCAATTGTAATTTTAGCAAGGCAAGGTAAATTCTCTATTTTTCTTTTTTTTTTTATTTTTTGTCTTTAAATATTTTTTATATTTTTATGAAACTAAAAAAAATAAATAAATGAATGTATATATAAAAGATTTTATATGTATATGTGTGAAAATATGTAGGCGACGGAAATATGGCAATGAGTAATACATTGGGAGCAAATATTCTTGACATCTTACTTTGTTTGGGTTTACCATGGATAATAAAATGTCTCATGGAAAAAAGATATGTGGAAATTGAATCAGGAGCTTTAAAGTATAGTGTATTTTCGACAGTTATTTGCGTAATTGTTCTTTATACAGTTATAGCATGTTTTAAATTTAAATTGAACAAGAAAGTAGGAATTATATGTTTATTTCTATATACGATATTTATAATATTTGCTATCCTTATAGAATTGAATGTTTTTTTCATTATAAATTTACCAATGTGTGATCAGTGAATTATTAATTTCTTTCATACATTTCATTCTCATACACAGTTTATGTTTACATTATGCATTTATAATTTGCTCATTCTTTATGCGATTTTTAGATTTCATTGTTGAAAAAATTTCATAATTTTTTTCATTTTCATAAATAAAATAAAATAATAAAATAAAATAAGGATTTTATTTAGAACAAAATAAACGAAAATGAATTTGTTTTTATTTTTCACCGATTTCAATCATTGATAACAATCATGGCTAAATTATATCGTTAATTAATGACATGTAGAATAGTGATCATATACTTTCATACACTTTGAATTTTATCTTCATTACATTAATAATTCATTGTATTAAATTTCTAATAAAATAAAAATGTAATAAAACAACAATGTTATTATGAAATAAAAACTTTATATGTTTTAATATATAATAGCAAAAAATAAATTATTTATTCTAAAAACTTAGAATTATATAAAAATGTTCTTTTATTATATAAACGATTTTATGCGGACATTATTTAAATAAACTTATTTTCTATTTTTATTTATTTTAAATAAATTTTTTAAATATATTTTTAATAATTTATATATAATTTTTTATTTTTTAACAGTGCAATAATTTCTTTGTTGTATTAATTTGAATTTGTTAAAAAATAAATAACTAAGTTTTTTTTATTTCGTTTTTCATATATTTTTTATTTTATATGTTTTTCTATTATTAATTTTATATTATATTTATTTATCTTGATTCAAAACATCTTTATTAAATTTAAATCACGAGTACGGATCTTCCATCATTTTTCATTACAGGTTTGACACATTATTTTTTAAATTTTTTGATAAAACGTAAAAACAACAAAATGTATAAAGAAATTGTATTGGCAAATAATTAAAATTTGATATATTTTTAATTAAAAATTAATATGTCAAATGATCTATACCTGTGAAGTGCAACAATAAATGGGATTAATAGATTTCGACTATGATACAATGATATATATACAATGATATAATAAATGTAAAGAACATTCTAATATTTTTTGCAACAAATTATATGAAGATTTCTATTGGATAAGCAATGATTCAAGGCATTTTGTCTATATTGTCAAACTAAATTAAAATATTAAATTTAATTTAAATTAAAAAATATATATATATATTAATTTTATGAAATGTCTTGTATAATTTCTGGATTTAAATATTTTTGGATAGAGATTTTTTGAATCGATATAGAAAAACATAAAATAGAAAAAAATAAAGAAGATTTATATGTAACAATGACATTTTATTTTTATAATATAATATAATATAAAATATATATAATATAAATATATTTATAATATAAAATAATACAAATTATATGAGTCACAATGAAGAAATATTGTGATATTAAAAAAATAAAGAATTGCATATAAATTATTAAAAATATTAAATATTAAATATTAAATATTATGAAAGTTTATTTAAAAAATAAATAAAAATTAAAAATAAACAAATTTAATAATTTGTATTTAATTATGTGTAAAATTGTCTATAATAAAGAACAAATTTTATTTTAAAAAACTTAAAATAAATAACTTATTTTTATTAATTATTTTCTATATTAGAAAAGCAATAACATTTGTAATAATATTGTTTTTATTTTATTACATTTTTGTTTTATTAGATGTTAATACAATAAACTATTGACATATAATAAAGACAAAATTCAGAGGCAATAACATTGTTTTTATTTTACTACATTTTCATTTTATTAGATCTTTAATATAATAATTTAATAATAATTTATAACAATAAACTATTGACATATAATAAAGACAAAATTCAGAGTGTTTGTAAATATATGGTTACTATAGATAAGTATTCATAATTATGAATGTTTTTTTAAAAGAATACTAAATGCTAACGATTAATGTCTTCTTATTCGTTAATTTCGTTAATTCTATTAGTTCAAAAAAAAAATTAATTCCTGAAGGTTTAAGTATTAATTCAATATATTACTTTATGGTATTTTTCTTACGTAGCAAATCTATCATCAACATTTGTGTACAATATCCTTAACATTGTATCCGTAATATTATACTCATGTTAATGATAGATTTGTTATTGAAATTTGAGTGTTAAATTAACAATTAAAGATGGATCAGTTAAAAATAAAAATAAAAAAGAAAATACAAATTAAAATATAAAAGATATAAAAGTGAAATGAAGAGAAAAGAAAAACGCTTAAAATAAAATATATATATTATAATATATGTTATAAATATATATATAATATATATATATATATTTATCATATTACATTAAGATTGCACGTCATTTAATAATACGTTACAATTTAAAAAATTCTATTGTATCATAACTAACTTCATATCAAAAAAAAAAGAATATAAGAAGACGTGGAAATAATAACGTATTCATGTCAGAAATAAACAAACAAAATAACGTTTTCCGTTTAAATAAATTTAGTAATATATTCAATCATTTCTTTGATGTTCATATTCATATCTTTATACAAAATTTCAATATGTATATTTATGATGAAACATTTACCCGATAATATTGATACATAATGATATAATATGCGTAAAAAAATAATAAAAAATATAGTATGTATAAAAAAAATAAATTAATATTTTAATAATTATGAATTATGTTAATATAAATAATAAATATATGTTTTCAATATAAAAAATAATTTATTTTTATTCAAAAAATGAATTGAAAAAATGTTCCGATATGGTAATTAATCAAAATGTATTATTAATGTACATGTAATTTGTTTTGATCAGAATTACAAATTGAAAAAAATAAGTTCTATTTTTCCATGTACACATATATGTATACATATATGTGAACTTATATATAACAAGATGATAATAATAAAGAAGGTGTAATAGAGTAATGCACAAAATAGCATATTTCTTTTATTTCAAAATAATTTCCTAAATACTTAATACATTGCTTAGAATGTATAAGTTTTCGAAAAATTTTGAAAATGTTTTGTTTTATGAAAATGTGTTTTACAATCATCTAATATTACCTTTATTTATTCAATGAATTATCCTGTTTATTTCGACTGTAATTTTAGAGAAAGAAAGAAGTCGGTAGGATAGAAAATATATTCAATAGATCACAAATAATTTGGATAATGATTAATAATCCCGTTTTTGGCGCTTAGGATTTTAAGGTTTTTCTCAGTATGACAATATAATTGTATTTTGAAAAAATAAAACATTTTACGAAATGTATAAAAGATATACATTTTGAAATTTTAAATAATATATTTGCATATATGATTGATAAAACTATATTTATGTTAGATATTTTTATTTGAATTAGATCTTATTATATCTTTTTTTTTATCATAATAATATATAAAAAATATAGATAGGTAGAAGACATGTTAATTTAAAAAAAAGTCACTATTCGATGAGCATTTATTTTCATTTTATGATAATTACTAAAAATATGCAATAAATAGATTTATATAATATATATATTAATATAATATATTAATAATATTATTATATGTCAAT